ATCAGTGTGGTACGGGGAGGGGTTAAGCACCTCTGGAAACACCCGCGCCGCAGCACACAAGAGCTCCCCACGGTCTCTGAGCATCTTTCAGAGATAGAGGTCAAAAACGTGGCTGGGGAGCCCCTCTCTCCCCAGGAATCCTGAAACCCAGGCTTGCTTTCTGTCTCCAGAATGACGCCACGTTTCACCTCCCGGCTGTTGGGCTCCCATCAGAAACCACAGCGCAGATCGTCAGCCTGCGCGACGTCAGCAGTTCTGGCTCATTAAACGAATCAGGTGACACCGTGGCTTCCTTTCGGTCTTTGTGTCGTTTCATCAGGCGGTTTCGATGCAAGCAGGCGGCTGTGGGACGGTGCTGGCTGTCCCCAGGGAGGGACCCCCCAGCCCCAACCCCAGCCACCCCCCCGTGAGGTCACCAACTGAACCATTCGGGATCTAAAGTTTCCCTCTGGGGCCTGTGATAGAACACAACAACCCTCACACAACAACCTTCTCCACGCCAGACGGGCCGGTCAGGTCCAACTCCAACCTTCCTCCTGAGATATGATTAGCTCTGATTTACTGATGCGAACAGAAACGCGGAGCTCCCTCCTCATCCTCCCTGTTTTCCAGAGGACAGGAGGATCCAAACCTGCTGGAAACCACCCGCCACGTCACCTAACTCACCTCCAAACGAGGCCGGGGGCTCAGGTTAATCCCCACTTAGAAGCAACTCCATATTTTAACGCTGGTATTAAGAAGCTATCCACAACAGCTTCGACTTCACCAAGCCCGAGCTCCACCAAGCTCAGCTGAGACTGACTTTCAAAACCATCTGCTGAGGTGAAGGACCAAACTCAGTTTACCCGCAGCTTAGGCCAGGGCTGTGGTTGGGCGTAGAGCATCCCAACCCCGTCCCCGTTGTCCTCCTCCTCCTCTGGATTTCACTCTCTCGGTGAGTCACTTTGCTTCGGGCAGTAGCGGGAGCCTGGCAGCATCAGCAACAACATTTTAGCACCTACCTCCAGAAGAAGAGGTCCCAACGACTCCTTCTCGATCACTCCTTGGCTGCTGGATGAGATGTCAGACTTCTGGACTTCATCATCAGCCGCTTTCTCTGCAGCGAAGGAAAAGGGACGTTATAGCCAAAAAAACTCGTCATTTTACTACTGAATTATTACCAGTAATAAACAAAATATTGACCACTTGTCCTACAGGCAATGCAGGATGTGCATCAAAACCTTCATCCCTCAGTCCCACAAAGAGATAATGTCACTTCTAATTCTTTATTAATTATTATAGACTAAAAGCTGGCAGGAAGGAAAAGCCCATCTTGAGCAGAAGCCTGCAGGGAGAGACCTCCAAAATCAACATTTTGAAAGGGAAACGGTATCTCCAGTTGGGTGCAAGCTGCAGTATTTGATCTGGAACTTCTCCGACAGCGCTTAAAGGAAGAACTGTCATCAGCGGCGCTGAGTCTGGTTGGAGGCCGGTAACCAGTGGTGTCCCTCAGGGGTCAGTACTGGGCCCAGTCTTGTTTAACTTCATCATCAACGACATGGATGAAGAGTTAGAGCGTACCCTCAGCAAGTTTGCTGATTACACCAAACTGGGAGGTGTGGTAGATACACCAGAAGGCTGTGCTGCCATTCAGCGTGACCTGGACAGGCTGGAGAGTTGGGCAGAGAGGAACCTGATGAGGTTCAACAAAGCCAAATGCAGGGTCCTGCACCTGGGGAGGAACAACCCCAGGCACCAGTACAGGCTGGGGCGGACCTGCTGGAGAGCAGCTCTGCGGAGAGGGACTGGGAGTGCTGGGGGACGACAGGGTGACCATGAGCCAGCAGTGTGCCCTGGCTGCC